TTAATTATAATGTTGTTTATTGGTCCAGTGGTGAGGATTTTTGTTTTCTTTACATTGAGATACAATCCATACCAAACACTGTGCTCTTTGATCTTCATCAGTAAGTATTTTAAGTTTCACTTTCAGCAAGCAAGGTTGTATCATCTGTGTAATTGCAGGTTGTTAGAGTCTTTCTCCAATTTTGATGCCACATTTTTCTTCACATAACTCAACATACAGGTTGAATAAGTATGGTGAAAGAATACAACCCTATCACACACCTGTCTTAATTTTAAACCATTCGTGTTCCCATGTTCTGTTTGAACAACTGCCTCTTGGTTCATGTACAGATTCCTCATGAGCCACAATTAAGTGTTCCAAATACTCATACTTCGCAATGTTGTCTGTAGCTTTTCATGATCCACACAATCGAAAGCCTTTGCATAGTCAATAAAGCACAGATAAGCATCTTTTCTGTATTCTCTGCTTTCAGCCAAGATCTATCAGACATCAGCAATGATATCCCTCGTTCCATGGCCTCTTCTGAATCTGGCTTGATCCTCTGGAAGTTCTCTGTCAATGTATGCTTTTAGCCGTTTCTGTATTACCTTTAGCAAAACTTTACTCGCATGAGATATCAAAGAGATTGTCCAATGATTTCCGCATTCCATTGGGTCACCTCTTTTTGGAATGGGCCCAAATACGGATCTTTTCCATTCAGTCGCTAGATAGCTGTCTTCCAAATTTCTTGGCAGAGATGAGTGAGTGCCTCCTGTGTCACCTCACTTTCTTGAAAGATTTCAATTTTCAATCCATCAATTCCTGGTGCCTTGTTCTTTGCCAATTCCTTCAATGCACCTAGGACTTCCTCCTTCAATATCATTGGCTCTTGATCATATACTACCTCTTGAAATGGCTGAACATTAACCATTTCCTTTTGATACAGTGACTCTGTGAATTCCTTCTCTCTTCTTTTGATGCTTTCTGCATCATTCAATAATTTGTGCAGTGAATCCTTCAATAACAAAAGTTGGGGCTTGATTTTTTTTCTTCAGTGCCCCCAGCTTGAGAAATGGTGAGCATGTTTTTCCCTTTTGGTTTTCTGACTCCAGATCTTTGCATATTTTATTGTAATATTTGGCTTTATGTTCTCCAGCTGATCTTTGAAATGTTCTATTCAGCTCTTGGACCTCCTCATTTCTTCCATTTGCTTTAGCATCTCTACGCTGGAGAGCAAGTTTCAGTGTCTCTTCTGACATCCATTTTGACCTTTCCTTCTTTCTTGTCTTCTTAATGACTTTTTGCTGTCTTCCTATATGATGTTCTTGATGTCATCCCACAACTCTTCTGGTCTTTGGTCCTTAGTGTTTAATGTATCAACTCTGTTCTTCAGATGATCTCTAAATACAGGTGGGATATATTCAAGGTCATATTTTGGCTCTTGTGGACTTGTTTTCATTTTCTTTAGCTTGAGTTTGAATTTGCATATGAGCAATTGATGGTCTGTTCCACAGTCTGCCCCTGGCCTTGTGTTGACTAATGATATGGAGCTTTTCCATTGTCTTTCTCCACAGATGTAGTCAGTTTGATTTCTATGTATTCTATCTGGTAAGGCCCATCTGTATAGTCATCTCTTATGCTGTCTAAAGAAGGTATTTGAAATGAACAAATCATTAATTTTGTAGAATTCTATCATGCGATCTCCAGCATCATTTCTATCACCAAGGCCATATTTTCCAACTACTGATCCTTCCTCTTTGTTCCCAACCTTTGCATTCCAATCACCAGCAATGATCAGTACATCTTGATTGCATGTTTGATCAATTTCAGATTGAAAAAGTTGGTAGAATTCTATTTCGTCCTCACTGGCTTTAGTGGTTGGTGCATAAATTTGAATAATAGTGGTATTAACTGTTAAATGTACTTCTGGGCCTGAGCTCAGCAGACCCATACAGAATCATTTATAGTAACAAAAATTTGGAAACAAATGTTCCAGAGTTAACAACCACAGATGGCTTGAGGGCTCAGTTCTGCCACTGTGTGGATGAACTCATGTCATTCCCACAGCAACCCCATAATGAAGTCAGTAGTATTACTCTGGTTTATATGTGAAAGAACTGGAGCACAGCGCGCTCAAGTCACCTGCCTAAAGTTGTGGTGTTAACACATGCTTACACTGGATTCAAGTGTTTTTGCCCCTGGCCACAGGTCTCTGGGTGGCACAAGTGGTTTGATCTCAGCTATGGGTCCTGGTGTGGCGCTGTGGGTTAATGCGCCAGACTGCAAAGCCATGTGAACTGCAAGGTTGGCAGCTCAAGCTCACCAGCTGCTCCAAGGAAACCCTATACAGGGTTGCTATGGGTCGGAACCAACTCGACAGCACTTTACAACAACAACTTACCTAAAGTTTGACAGCTCAGAAATACCCAGCAGAACCAAGGAAGAAATGCCTGGTGATCTGCTTTTAAAAGGTCCCTGCCTTGGAAATGTTTCTCTGTGACACATGGAGTTGCCATGAGTCAGAATTGATTTGTTGGCCACAGGTTTGGTGGTGGGTTTTTTTTTTTGGTGCACACTCTTCCTGCGTGGATGGCATGTTTGTTTGATGTCCATCTGGAAGGGTGATTGTGGGTGAGGACTATGTCTGTGTCCTTCTCTGGTCCAGGGGTTCTACTGGGTAACAAGAATCGGGGTAGGCTTCTGCTGGGGGACCAAGACTAATGGCTTCCTCTCTTTCACCCCCTAGAACTTCACCTACCTCTGTGCACCAGTGCCCTCAGTTCCGGGCTAGGGACTGTCCCGCCACCACCATGATCTGGAAGAAACTGGGCTCCGGCAACTTCTCCAGCTGCCCCAATGGCTCCCGCCAGTGGATATGGGACGTGTTTAAAGAATGTGCACAGGACAGCTGGGATGAGGCCAGCGTAGGCCTGGGCTTGATCTCCATTTTCTGCTTTGCTGGTTCCACCTTCCCGTGAGTAGCACCAGGATGGCGGGACCAGGGCTAGAGGTGACGATCAGGCGATGGCCCCACATACTGCACAGAGGAGCGACTTCTTGGGCCTCTCTAAAATCAAGGATGTGCGTTCTCCTCCAACGCACCTAGGGGTCACCTGCATTGAACCCACCCTGGGCCAGGTCTTGTGCTGGGCCCCACACCTACAGAGGCAACAACAGTAACTCTCACGACTGTTTACTGAATGCGTGCTCCTACTAGGCCCGGTGCTAAGCTCTTGACATGTTTAGACTTTGTTTAGTCCTCATAACAACACTTGGTTCTGTTGTGCCTTAGGTCACTATGAGTCAGTACTGACTCAGTGGCACCTAACAACACCACCACTTTGAGGCAGCAACTATTATTATCCCTGTTTTGTAGATGAGGAAACGGAACCCCGAGAGTGTAAATAACTTGGTCTAGGTTGCACAGCTCATAAGGGTTGGGGTGAAAGGGGCTGGGATGTGTCAAACATGGTGTCTGTTCTTGAGGCTTTGGCAGTCTGGTGGTAGAGACAGTGAATACAAAATAGTGGTCATTGCTGCAGTTGGGGACCCAGGACACAATGAGCAACAGTGCTTCAGGCAGTGAACCCTGTGGCCCTGTACTCAGTGTGACCTGGGCAGGTTACTTGGTGTCTCAGTTTCCGTGTCTGTAAAATTGCTCCTTACCCCAGTACTGTGAGAATGGCATGAGGGAGTACATGTAAGCTCCCAGCTCGGGGCCTCTACACAATACATGCACAGTCCAGAAAGCTGTTGGAGACGAGATTGGTGCCTCATTACATGCACTAGGAGTGCAGAAGAGGGGCACCTAACTCAATCTTACGGGCATGGGCAGGGATTTCATTCAGAGAAAGGATCCCCAGAGGTGCCATCATTTAAGCTGAGACTTATTAGATACACAAGAATTAGAGAGGTGAGAACAAGGTATGGGGGAGGGGAGAACATTCCAGGCTGAAGGAACAGCAGCTGCAAAGGCCTGCAGGTGCAAGAGAGATGGGTGATGAGAATTGAAGATGCTTGGACTCCATTGGTCCAATGGCAAATGTGAGCATCAGTCTCTGTGACCCTGAGACCAGAACTAGATGGTGCCTGGCTACCTCTACCGACTGCTCTGAAAGGGATCACATTAGACGGGCCTGGATAGAGTGGCCCACAATGTGAACAAATCCCCAAATTATTTAAAAAAAAAAAAAAATGATGGGTAAGACTGAGGAATTTGCACTGATCGCTTAAGACAGGCAGCGTCCCTTAAACAATAAATAAGGGGGAATCTGATGCAGACCATGCAGACCCGGTCAGGAGGTCAAGACCCTGTGGGCCTAAGCGTTGTTGACCGTCCAAACCATAGGCTCTGAGAATCAGACTTTAGCCACCTAGTAGACATAGCAAACTGTCCCTCATCTGATTATTCAGTAATGTTTGTCAGTAATCTCATGCATGAGCCCTGGATATCCACAGACAAATGTAAAAACCTTCCCTAAAAGCCGAGACTGTAAATTCCAAAAAGGCAAATTCCCCATCCTACCCCCCCTGAAAAAAAGCTAAAGAGGATAGAGAGAAACACTGTTAAACTGATGATATATGGAGGTGATAATAATCAATGTAATGAAACAAGCTATATGAATGGTTGAATGTGAAGCTGATGATGTGCCCTGTAAACTTTCACTCAATCCAAAATAAAAACATTTAATAAAAAAAAAAATAATAATAATAATAAAAAGACTGGGGTTACTGGTTGGAAAGAGACTGGAGGAACCTGAAACTTCAGGATGCCGAGGGCTATAAAGGATGAAAGAGAAAATGCTGGCAGAGCTGGGACAGTCCCTGGAGGAATGGATGCTTCCAGATGGTGCAGAGGAGGTGTTTGGGCTGAAGGAGGAGGGGGTGGGATGCTGCAGAGGAAGCGCTGAGAGCCAGGAGGGGAAGTAACATGGCTTGCCAGGTGGGGTGGAGAGGTAAGGAGGCTGTGGGTCCTCACTGAGGAGCAGCTGTAAGCCCTGAAAGATCCCTGGGAGGGAGAGCGTGAATATCTGAGGGGAAAGAGGTGGGTGGACTGGAGACTAGCTCCTGGGCCTAATTAGGAGGTGGAGATGGAAGGATCCACTGTTGGTAGAAGAGGGCCAGATGCTTTCTTCACATCTGGGTGATGGGTGTGATGGAATATCATTTAGTTCCTTCCTTGAACACACACACAGATGCTTACCCGGAAAGTGAAACAGTAAATGGCACGATGTGTTGTGAGCAGGGTGAGACTCGAGCCTGAGGACTTGCCCCAGGGTCCTGCTGAGCAGTGTGGCACCAGTGAGTGATCACTGGAGCTGAGCTGCCTTCACAGAGTGGGAGGTGAACTTAGGAGTTAATACACATAAAGAGCTCAGAACACGGCGTGCCACCATCTGCACTGGGCTCACGTGGAGTTTGGGCCAGCCTTGTATCCGCACCTGGTCAAAGATCCAAAGACAAGGCCTCAACACCAAGGACCTTTGGGGCAAACAACCAAAGGTACAGAAGTCCCCGACGTGCCTGCAGAGAGTTCAGGAGCCTCAGCCGCCCTTCTCCAGTGGCTGCTGAAGATAATCAGACTGTGGTTTGGCCTATCTTCTCATCAACCATTCTTGGCGATAGGGCAGTGACCAGGCCTTGGGTCTGCCGCTGCCATGGCCTTTGCCACCATCCTTCTTTCCTCCCCTCTGAAGTGGTTCCCAGGCCCAGGCATGAATGTCAGGACCTTTAAGCCCTCCAGCCCCTCACTGGGAGCCCCCCAACGTGCTGTGCAGGAGAAGCTGAGTAACGCTGTGGCTTTTGAGGGCAAGGCGCATCTCCTTACAGTGCCCAGGTTGTGAGGGATTCCTCCGGTAACACCCTCCAATGGACAGAGAGAGGCCTGGAAGGATGGGCTCCCAGCCACCATCACCTACTGCCATCTGCTCCTCTGTTCTGTTCTGCAAACTTCTGGGAGCATGTTCACCCAAGCCCCCCACTCACATTCCCAAATTGGCGCACTCAGTGTGGTATCTCTCTCTTCCATAGCCAGTACATCAAGGCCTGCAAAGCAGGCAACATGGACCAGGCCCTGTCGCTGTGGTTCCTGCTGGGCTGGTTGGGTGGAGACTCCTGCAACCTCATCGGCTCCTTCCTCGCAGACCAGTTACCACTGCAGGTGGGTCTAACCCAGGTAGCCATGGCAGGGGGTGAGGGTGACAGCCAGTGTTCAGAACCCTAACCATCTTCTGAGGCACCTGTGCCGTGATGAATACTCTGCCCTGTCTTGCTGTGTGACAGTGGGGCCCATCTACAAAGTGCTCACATTGGCCAAGGTCTCCCCCATTCTCGAGAGGAGGACAGATGCTTCCCCAGGGCATACTCGGAGCCCTTGTCTGTGGTCAGGACCAATGGGTGTTAACTGCTACTGTACAGGCTAAACCAGAGCCATCGCTCACCTCTGTCCCACGGTGTCCTGACCAGTGACAGTGCCCACAAACCCGGGAGCGCTTGCCTTTGATGGCTCTTTGCTTACCTGATCTTTAATCCAATAGGGTAGGCAGTGTGAGTCCCACTTTTCCAAACAGATAGAGACGCTCCAAGTAGTGAAGTGACTTGCCCAGGGTCTCCCCACTGGGAAGTGGGAGACCACTGCTCTAGTCCCAGGGTGTGATGCCCAGGTCCTGGGACTACAGCCAACCCATGGGGTCCCGGCTTCCCTCACAGACCTACACGGCGGTGTATTACGTCCTGGCGGACCTGCTGATGCTGACGCTGTATTTTCACTACAAATACAAGAATCGAACCTTCCTGTGTGAGTCCGGGTGACCCTTGGGGTCGGCTGTGCTGGCGGCAGCTGGGAGGGCTAGGAGCTCAGGCAGAAGCAAGTTATTCTATTGCCTGAAGAGAACTCAGACTTCCTCAGTCCTGTGTAAAAGCCTTATCGGCCAAGATCCAAACCAGTGAACACATGCAGGCTCACCCAGTCATCAAGCACAGCCTCATTAGGGTCTCCTTGGTGCCTGGCCCTGGGCTAGGGGCTGGAGAAAGGAGGAATAGTCACCCAAGCCCCCTCTGCCCTTGGGGGCTCAAGGGAGAGAGACAAGACCAAATTGAGGACTATTCAAGAGTAGCATTTCTGCTTTTAAGAATCTCCCTTCAGACCCCTTTGTCCTCATGCCCTCATTATTTCAGCCTTCTGACCCTAGCTGTTGGGTGCTGACTACTATTATACCCATGCCACAGATGAGAAACTGATGCTCAGAGAGGTTAGGGCACTTGTTCAAGATCACACAGTGCCTGAAGGCCAATTCTAGGACTCAGATCGCACATGTCTGCCACCCATCAGCTAATCTCAGCTGCTTCTCCCCCGCCCCTGCCACCTATCCAGCATCTGCCTCCATCAATGTTGTGCTCTTGCTTGTCGTGGGAACGGCATTTTCCACCCCGCTGCTGAGCAGGCCTGACCCTGCGGCTACCCAGAGGGAGGTCTTCACAGGGCGGAAGCTCCTGTCGATGGAACCAGGCAATAAGGTGGGAAACAGAACATGATGGGAGAGTTAGGGGGGTGGGAGGGCCATAGGGGTATTACATATGGGGTAGGGGGGAATTGCCTCCTGAGGGGCAGCTTGGGAATTTCTCCCTGCACCTCCTACCCCTACCAGACTCTGACCACCCACTTATACCCTCTCAGCCCTTCACCCAGAAGGAAATCATTGGCTTTGTCATTGGCTCTATCTCCAGCGTGCTGTACCTGCTCTCACGGCTACCCCAAATCCGCACCAACGTGAGCCTTGCGCAGGGTTCTGGGTGGGATGGCAGTTCTGGGTGGGAGAAGAGCGGCCTGGCCTCTCAGGCCCTCCAAGTGGAGAGTAGCATAGCACAGGAGTTTTCCTTCAGAAGGTCTTGGTCCACACTCACTGTTGGCTTGGGCAAGCTAATACACTTCTCCAAGCCTCAGTTCCTGCTTCTTGACAGTGGACGTGATAATGTTCGCATCCAGGGGTACATGTGATCTGTGTGTGTCTGGGGGATAGGGTGTCAGGTGAGAGCAGGGGACTGAGCTCAGAGGCTAGAGGGAGGTGAGGAGGTGGGGGGCGCAGGGCTGGAGGAGGATCGCTGGACTGGAGAGCAGGTGTGGGCAACCCCATCTCCCACAGGCCTGGGAGAGGTTGCTGGAGGGTGGACAAGGGTCAGGCCCATGGGGCACTGGGTACCCAGTGGAAGGTCAGCTCAGAGTTTCACAGTGGTGGGGCAGATGGACATGGGGACAGTCACAATCCAGAGGGACAGGGCTGACCCCATGCCTCTCCCTCCTTCCAGTTCCTTCGGAAGTCCACCCAAGGCATCTCCTACTCACTGTTTGCCCTGGTGATGCTGGGGAACACGCTGTATGGCCTGAGTGTGCTGCTCAAAAACCCCGATGTGGGCCAGAGCGAGGGCAGCTACCTGTTACACCACCTGCCCTGGCTTGTGGGCAGCTTAGGTGTACTGCTACTCGACAGCATCGTATCCTTCTGGGGGCTTGGGCTGATGGAGCAGGGGGCAGCCTTCTGTCTGCATCCTGCTTCTTTATTCACTCACTCGTTCATTATGTGCCCGGCATCTGGGGAGCTACCGGGCGGGGTCCAGCAGTGAGCAAGCACAGAGGGCCCTGGCCCTGGCTGTGGGAAACTTATGGCTCAGTGGGAAGGTGAACATGACACGCTATCAGATAACCATTTCATTGCAGAAAAGCTGCAGCAAGAGCAAAGAGCCTGGGGGCTGAACCTGCAGCCTGAAGGAAGAGGAGGAATTAGGTCAGAGCAAAGGAGGAGCTTTTCAGGCGTGGTTTGTGCAAGGGTCCCGAGGAAAGACAGTCCATCTAGGACATAGGAATGAAAGCTGGCCTATGGCAGAAGCGTACATCTGGGTTAGAGTCAGAAAGACCCGACTTCAAACTTAGGAACCCCCCACTTTGCACCCACCTTGTGTGACCCAGGGCACACCGTAGCTTCATCTGCTCAGAGAAGCACCTAGTCACACCAGGAGAGCTTCCAGCGCATGACCCTGCACACAGCACATGCTCAGTACAGGTTGGCTAAGTGGCTGAACAAAAACATTATTTGGAAGAAAGGAAACAGGGCCCTTGTTTGCTGAGTGAGTGCTGGGTGCAATCAGGTGACAAGAGCACTTTGAGCCCTACCAAAAGCCAGTTGCTGTCAATTTGCTTCTGGCTCATCGAGATCCTGTCAGGACAGAGTAGAACTGCCCCATAGGGTTTTCCTAGGCTGTGAGCTGTACTCTCGGGGCCTGGTGCCTCTGTGGTTATAGAGCTCAGTTGGTTGAGCACTCAGTAGGTTAGCAGTTTGAACTCACGTGAGAAAGATGTGGCTGTCTGCTTCTGTAAAGACTTACAGCCTTGGAAACCCTATAGGGCAGATCTTCTCTGACCTAAAAAGTCACTGTGAGTTGGAACCGATTTGACAGCAGTGGGTCTGGGACTCTTTATAGAAGCAGACTATTACATCTTTCTCCCTCGGAGCAGCTGGTAGCAGTCAAGCTGCTAAGCCCAAATGATTCCAGCCACTTGGTGAAAGCCCCAGCTGCCAGAGGCTGGGAGGAAGGCCAGAGCCTGGCTTTCGGGGCTGGGAGGCTGCCTGAAGGAGGAAGCACTCAGAGCTGCATGGAAGATGGGCCGAGAGGCCAAGGGTGGAGGAGTGGGAAAGTCATTCTCAGTGGAGGGGACAACAGAGCAGAAGTTGAAGCTGTTGCTGACTTTTTCCACCTGCCAGGCATGGGGTGTGTGTCTGTGATAAGCAGCCCAGGCTCCCCAGTCTCTGTGGTCTGCCTTGACATCCCCCCCAGATCTCTGTGCAGTTCCTGGTCTACAGGCATGCCACTGCTGCCTCCTCAGAGACAGAGCCCCTCCTCACCGGCTGATGAACCACCAGGTGCCACATCCAGGAAGGGAGTGAGGTGGCTTGAGACAGTGCTGCTGACCTTGGATTGGGCCGCGGAGGAAGCCTACACCTACAATTCCTGCCCCGCTCACTTGGAAACCTCTGAGGAGGACTGACTGCTTCTTCCCAGAAGCAAGATGGCCCGAGACTCAGCACCCCCTTAGAAGTTGCCTGGGGGGAGCCTCCAGCTGGGGTTGTGGCTGGGACCTCAGAAGACTCTACAGTGGCCCCTTAGCTAAGCTACCTCATTCTCCCTGCTCCTTCTCTGGGGGGCAGGCCCAGCTACACCCTGGTGGACCCAGGACTGTCCTGCTGACTCCAGATAGGCAGTAAACGGACCCTCCCTGCCAGGCCTGTCTCTATGCTCCTTCTGTGGGGACAGCAGCAGTGGATAGGGGTGTGGTCCACATCCAAGTCCCAGGCTAATGGGGCAGGATGGGAGAGCCCAGCAGGCAGCCCCGGTCCAGCCACTTGGGGCGTCTCCTTTCTTCAACTGCTTCTCCTGTGCCTGGTGGTGGAGACACAGCAGTAGGAACCACATTCCAACTGGAATAATAGATCCTGGTTCTGCACGTTACCTTCTGGGCCTCAGTTACCTCATCAATGAAATGGGGGTGGCGATGGTACCACTTCATGGGTCCTTCTAAGGATTGAATGTTGCCAGCTGCCGTTGACTCCTGGTGACACCAGGCAGGATGGACCAACATGCTGACTGACCCAGCCCCATCCTGATTGCTGGGGATGGTGCCACAGTCAGTGGCAGGCCCTTCACTGGCTCCTCTTCGCTTTCAGCAGACAAGGTTGTATCTGCATATCGCAGGTTACTAATGAGTCTTCTTCCAGCTTTGGTGCCATGTTCTTCCTCTAATCCAACTGGCTGATTTTCAGAAGTTGCTCACCAGGGCTGTCTTGCAAGTCTGGAAGCTGCTGAAACCTGTTCAGCATCCGAGCAGCACACAAACCACACTGACAGACAGCTGGAGGTGATGCATGAAGTTCATTGACTAGGAATCGAACCCAGGTTTCCTGCACGGAAGGCAAGATTTCTACCACTGATTTCCCTATAGGCTTGCATAAGATGACTTTAATTTCCAAGGCCTCCCTATTCTGGTATCTAGGAAGAGCTCAATAAAGGTGGTGGTTGTTAGAGGCCATTGAATTGGCTCCAACTTAGCGTTCCGATATACAATGAAATGAAACACTGCCTGGTCCTATGCCAACCTCACAATGGTTGCCACGTTTGAACCCATTGTTGCAGTCATGGTGTCAGTCCATCTCATTGAGGGTCTTCCTCTTTTTTGCCAGCTCACCACTTTACCAAGCATGATGTCCATCTGCAGGGACTGGTCCCTCCTGATAATATGTCTGAAGTATGAGAGATGAAGTCTCACCATCCTTGGCTTTTAAGGAGCGTTCTAGCTGGACTTCTTCCAACACAGATTAGTTTGTTCTGAAAGTCCATGGTACTTTTAGTATTCTTCTCCAACACCATAACTCAAATACATCAACTCTTCTATAGTCTTCCTTGTTCGTTGTCCAACTTTCACATGCATAAAAGCCTATTGAAAATACCATGGATTGGGTCAGGCACACTTTAGTCCTCACACTAACACTTCTGCTCTTCAACATTTTAACTCCATATCTTGCTCATCAGATTTGCCTGATGCAATAATAGGTCATTGGATTTCTTGACATCTGTTTCCATGAGTGATGATAGTGGATCCAAGAAAAATGAAGTCTTGGACACCTTGTGTCTTTTCTCCCTGTATCATGGTCATTTACTGTTTCAGTGGTGAGAAGTTTTGTTTTCTTTACATTGAGGTGCAACCCATACTGAAGGCTGTTTTCTTTGATCTTCACCTGTATTTTAAGTCTTCTTCACTTTCAGCAAGCAAGGTTGTAATCATCTGCATATCACAGGTTGCTGATGAATCTTCCTTCAGTTTTTGTGCCACGTTCTTGACATAATCAGACTTCCTGGATTATTTGCTCAGCATACAGACTGAATAAGTATGGTGAAAGAATACAACCCTGGGGCACACCTTTCCTAATTTGAAACCAGTGTCCCCTTGTTCTGTTTGACTGACTGCCTCTTTGTTTATGTACATGTTCCTCATGAGCCCAATTAATGTTGTGGAATCCCCATTCTTCGTGATGTTCGCCATAGCTTGTCATGGCCCACACAGTTGAAAGCGTTTGCAGTCACTAAAGCACAGGTAAACATCTTCCGGGTGTTCTCTGCTTTCAGCCAAGATCCATCTGATGTCAGTACTGATATCCCTGCGCCCTTTTTTGACTTCTACCACTTGTCTGTCAGCTGGTCGCACTGTGGTGGCTTGCGTGTTACTGTGATGTTGGAAGCTATGCCACCAGTATTTTGAATGCCAGCAGGGTCATCTCTGGTGGACAGGTTTCAGCTGACCTTCCAGACTAAGACTTGGAAGAAAGAGAGGTGGACTGCTTCCAAATGTTTAGCCACTGAAACCCTATGAATAGCAGTGGAACACTGTCAGCACAGAATATTGAATATTGACACGTGATGAGTAGCACCAGAATACTATCAGATACAGAGCTGGAAGATAAGCCCCTCAGGATGGAAGGCACTCAGAATACGACTGGGGAAGAAGAGCTGATTCCTCAAAGTAGAGTTGACTGTGATGACAGTCCTAAAGTTTTTAGGACCTTCATTTGCTAACGGGGGCATGACTCAAAATGAGGAGAGACAGCTGCAAACATCCATTAGTAATTGAAACATGGAGTCCAGGAAAATTGGAAGTTGTCAAAAATGAAATAGAACACATAAACATCGATATCCTATGCAGGAGTGAGCCGAAGTGGACTGGTATTGGCCATTTTGAATCTGACAACCACATGGTTTACTATATCAGGAATGACAAATTGATGAGGAATGGTGTCATATTCATCATCAAAAAGAATATTTCAAGATCCATCTTGAAGTGTGTGTGATAGGATAATATCCATACACATACAAGTTAATACCACTGTTATCAAATTTGTTTACCAACCACTAAAGCCAGTGATGATGAAATTGAAGAGGAACACCCGTTTCCTCATTCTGAAATTGATCAGATATGGTAATAAAGATATGTTAATAATGACTGATGATTGGAATGCAAAGGTTGGAAACAAAGAAAAAGGATCACTAATTGGAGAACATGGTCTTGTTGATAGAAATAATGCTGGAGATCACATGATAGACTTTTTCAAGACCAATTACTTACTCATTGCAAATAGCTTTTTAAAATAACAAAAGATGATTACACATATGGACCTCACCAGATGGAATACACAGAAATTAAATTGACTACATCTATGCAAAACGATGGTAGAAAAACTCCATCTCATCAGCCAAAACAAGGCCAGGGGCAGACTGTGGAGCAGACCATCAATTGCTCATTTGCAAGTTCAGGCTGAAGCTGAAGCAAATGAAAACAAGTCCATGAGAGTCAAACTATGACCTTGAACATACCCCACCTGGATTTAAAGCTCACCTCAAGAACAGATTTGGTGCATTAAACACTCATGATTGAAAACCAGAAGAAATGTGGATTGACATCCAAAACATCACACTGGAAAAAAGCAACAGTTCACTAAGATGACAAGGAAGAAAGAAAAGACCAAAATGGATGTCAGAAGAGACTCTGATACAGGATCTCTGGTGTAGAGATGCTAAAGCAAATGGAAGAAATGAGGAGGCGAAAGAGCTGAAAAGAAGACTTCAAAGGGCAGCTCAAGAAAACAAAGTCAAATATTATAATGAAATGTGCAAAGATCTGGAATTAGAAAACCAAAAGAAACGAACACACTCAATATTTCTCAGGCTGAAAGAACTGAGGGAAAAATTAAAACTTTGACTTGTAATACTGAAGGATTCTTTGGGCAAAATATTGAATGATGCAGAAAGCATCAAAAGACAATAGAAGGAATAGAGAGTCACTGCACCAAAAACAAATGGTCTATGTTCAACCATTTTAAGAGGAAGCATATGATCAAGTCATTGGTATTGAAGAAAGCAGTCCAGGGTGCATTGGGGATTGATGGACTACAAACTGAAAAAATTTCAACAAACTTACGTAATACTGGAGGCACTCAGTCATCTATGCCAAGAAATTGGGAAGACAACTTCTTGGCCAAACTTACTGGGAGAGATTCAGATTTGTGCCCATTCCAAAGATAGGAAACCCAACAAAACACAGAAATCATTGGACAATGTCAGTATCACATGGAAATTTGTGTTGGAAGAAGTGCAGCCAGAGTGCTCCTTGGAGGCCAGGATGGTCAAACTTCATCTCTTATACTTCAGACATACTGATAGGAGGGACCAGTCACTGGACAAGGATATCATGTTTGGTAAGGTGGAGGGTCAGAGAAAAAGAGGAAGACCCCAGCGAGATGGATTGGCAAAGTGGCAGCATCAGTGGGCTCAAGCGGGGCAACGATAGTGAAGTTGGCCCAGGATGATCAGGCAGTGTTTCGTTCTGCTGTGCATAAGGTCTCTATGAGTCGGTACTGACTCAATGGCACCTAACAACAACAACAACAACAACAAAGATAATTTATTAAATGGCTGCAACAGTACATTGACAGGGAACTGCCAGAAATTCAAGCTGGATTCAGATGAGGATGCGGAATGAGGGATGTCATTGATGATGTCAGATGGATTTTGGCTGAAAGCAGAGAACACCAGATGTTTACCTGTATTTTATTGACTATGCAAAGAGGCTTTTGACTGTGTGGATCATGACAAGCTCTGGACATAGAATGAATTTTCCAGGACACTTCATTGTGCTCCTGAGGAACCTGCATGTAGATGAAGAGGCAGTTGTTGGAAAAGAACAAGAGATCACTGAATGACTTTAAATCAGGAAAGGCACACACCAGAGTAGTATTCTTTCACCATACTTATTTACTCTATATGATGATCAAATAATCTGAGTAGATGGATTATATGAAGAAGAA